GGTTTACAGAAAATGGTCTGAAAGGAGAAAATATCCAGTGAGTGGCAGTTCTTTGGGCACAAAGGTCTTGTTTATGCCAGAGGTTAGAAGAGAATGCCTAGACTGGTTTAAGCTGATAGAAAGGAAACAGTAACTAAAATACTTCCTAATTACAACCAAGGTATGCAGAAGAGCATTTCTGAACAAACAACACATCAAACCTTGAGGCGGATGGGCGAATTTGGCATCAACAACATGAAAGCATGGGATCCATCCTGCCTTGTACCAACGATTCAGGCTGCTGGTGGTGGTGTAATGGTGTAGGGGGATATTTTCTTGGCACTCTTTGGGCCCATTAATACCAATTGAGCATTGTGTCAATGCCACAGCCTACCTGAGTATTGTTGCTGACCATGTCCATCCCTTTATGACCACAGTGTACCCATCTTCTGATGGCTACTTCCAGCAGCATAATGCACCATAAAGCGTGAATTATCTCAGACTGGTTTCTTGAACATGACAAAGAGTTCACTGTACTCAAATGGCCTCCAGTCACCAGATCTCAATCCAATAGAGCACATTTGGGATGTTGTGAAACTGGAGATTAGCATCATAGATGTCCAGCGGACAAATGTGCAGTGATTGCATGATGGTATCATGTCAAGATAGACCAGAATCTCTGAGGAATATTTCCAGTACCTTGTTGAATCTATGCCAAAAAAGTATTAAGGCAGTTCTGAAGGCAAAAGGGGATCCAACCCGGTACTAGTAGGGTGTACCTAATAAAGTGGCCGATGAGTGTATATATATAATTTATGACAACACCTTTCAGTGTCAGAAGGTACTTGTAATGTTTGTCCTAATTATGAAAAGCTTTCTCTGCAGCCATTTATTAATACATTATACCTGTGGCCAACTAGGGTTACATCTCATTATGCAATGCATTGCCATTTGCAAAAAAGAAAGAAAAGAAAATCCAAGCACAATGACCAAAATGTTTTTACTTTTCTGGGAAGTTAAAGCAAACAAGAAGGAAGGTTAAATAACGTGCAAGCCCACTGTTGATGAACATTATTTAGAGAGATAAACATTTCAATACAAATTTATTTGACAGATTAGAAAATATCATAATATGAATTTGACCTTTCATGCCAAAAATAAATATAAGTTCAATTCTTTAAGCTTGGTATTTTGGAAAGAAGTGGCAAAATTTTTACTTTCAAATCAAAATGTGTTCTCATTTTCTCCTTTGACATTTACATGACAAAATGACATGGCAGAATTTAGATTTTTAGTCACTGTATTTCTTTACAGTCTGCAGTGTCAGTGTTTCATGATGAGGTCTTTTGTGTTTGTTAATATTACATCCCTAAAAATGAAGTCCTAATCCACTGACAAAGGAGGGTGAGTGAGAATAATGTGAGAACTCAGTATCTCTGAAGCGTTGTCTTTCTTAATGCAAAGTAGTGCTAACAGTGTCATGCAATGGCATGCAATCAGACTCAACAACGGCTCAGTAGACTGAGATAGGATAGAGTGTCAGATCAAGTTACCCACTTATCCATCTTATGGAAAACAAACTGTTTCAGGTCACCTTGAGCAATGGTTTGTCCAAAGCAGAGGATTGCTTTTCCATTTGGCCCCTTTGGATACACTCGGGGTTCTGATTTCCTTATAATAAAATTTGAAAGAGGGAGTTAACTGATTAATATGTATTTGGGTCTTGTGTTCATGTTATGCAGAAAGCCTGTAGGGTTTATTTCGATGCCAATTATCCTATACAGGAAGTTGAGAACAAAGGGTTGCTGCCATAATAGAGATCCTTAAAAAAAAAAATCATAACTGATGAATCTAAGATGACACATATTGGACGAGAGACTTACAATGTTGGGCAGAAGTTCTTTTTTTTTCTCTCTCGATTAATGAAGAGATTTTAAGGGACAGTGAGAAAATAAAAAATCACTCACCATTTACTTACCCTCTAGTGGTTTCAGATATGTATGCGTTTCATTTGCCTCTTGATCAAGGTCACTGAAATCCATAGTAGGGAAAAAATGATGGAAATCAATGGCTACCAGTTCCAACATTGGAACAAGTCCAAAGTAATTGATTGATATAGAATGTTCACTTTTGGGTGAACCATGTTTTTAATTACACTTTAAAGTGTAATAACAAACTAATGTTTTGTACACTGTAAAACACAATAAGTTAAGGTAACTCAAACCATTTTAGGAAACCGACTGCAACAAACTATTTCAAAGTTCAAGTCCAAAACTAATCCTAATGAGTACTGTAAACTTAATCCATTTGAACAGACGAAGCAATTTGAGCACAGTAAAACCCAATAAATGAAGAGAACTTAAACCAACTGAATACTGTAAAACTCAATAAGTTTAGTCAATTCAAACCAATTTAGGAACTGATTGCAACAAACCATTTGAGTTAGAAAAAAAACTAATCTGAGTATTGTGAACTTAATCCAGTTAATCCAGTAATGACATATTTAATAAACTTATTACCTCAACACTGAGTTCAAAACTCTTTTTAAATCAGTAGAATTAATTTTCAGTCAATTTTGAGTTAACTACACTCATTTCATTTGATAAAATTGACTGTTAGGTTTTACAGTGTTGTGGCAGACTCGTAGCCAGGAGTTCCGGTGGGAGACCCCTCAATGACATAAGTCCAGAATTTGTCCCATACTTGAGCTCATTTCTCCTATTTTGACTGCTACACCATCATAAATTGTTAAAATAATTGAAATAGGCTTTAAAACCATGCCGAATCATCGGTTGACTGTCACATCAGTGTGACTTCAGTTAATCAGTTTTGGTCAATGCAAACTATTATTTTTCATGAGTCCAACATTCAGTTGTGCAAGAAAACATACAATAGGGCATAAGTAAAGTCATATTTCACTACACTATAAAACCCAACGGTCAGCTTTTTCAAATGAAAATGAAATGTTGAAGGTAATGAGTTAATAAAATACTTCATTACTTTAAATTTAAATTTAATTTAAATGGAGTAGGTTCACAGAAAAGAAAATATTTTACAAGTAACTTTTATAAATCTTGGACCTTATTCTTAAAAACAAAAAAAATTACAGATAAAAAGGTGTGAAGCACCAAGAGAATCCCATTTTAAAATTCATTAAATTTTAATTTTGCTATTGTTGTTATTCATGAATTTTCAATCAAATGTGCTTTGAGGCTAGACAAATCATGAAGCTCATATTATGAAGCTCAAATTCTGATTCAGGAAAGTTGAATGTGCTGGCCAGTTTGTTATTTGCCTAATAAATGACAACCGGCTACAGTTTTTTTTTATGTAAAACTTCAACAAATTCCTTTTTTTTCTAATGATATATGATGTAATAGATTTGTTGGAATTTCTTTATTCTAAATCTTTAGAAAATATTTTGGTACTTTAAAAAGTATCATTAATGATGACTATCCAACAAGCTAATACAGCAAAAAAAAAAGTGCTTAAAATGTCAGTAAAATGTAGTATTTAAATCTCATAAATAATCAGAAAATGAGGCGAATGACTGCAAACAGGTTTACATTTTGAGAAAAAAAGGACCACCCCTTACGAGCCTGAGTGGGGTCTGTCGTAAATAACTGTATAATATGCAAAAAAGCTAATTGGGTTTATTGTACAGCATAGCATCTGTTTTCAAATATATTCTGCCTGTGTACACAAAGGGATTTGTTTGCTGTATGTATTTGTTGTGTTTATGTGATTTATATGTTTTAATGTATTCATATTTTGCTCGTATGACAAGCCCACATCTTTATTTTCACTATACTAAACATACACGGTCATTTCTTTGTAGACAGCAAGAAATTAATAATGAACTTTACACAGATGTCAGCTGTCTATTATTTCAAAATGTGACTGCTAATGGTGAAAGTTTTAAGAAACCTTTGGCCTGTAACTTTAAACCTAATTCTTTCCCGTGAATAAAGAGTGTATTTGTGAAATTTAGACCTAAAGTCAAATCAGGATATGTGCAAGTGCTTATTTTCTGTTACAATAGGGGGTGTGAATTACTGTCTAGTTAGGGAACAATGCCAGGTTAAAAGGTATTCAAGCTAACAAATACTGCTCAAAAAAATAAAAATAAAGGGAACACTTAACACAATGTAAGTCCAAATGTTCCCTTTATTGATTTAAGCAGTATAAAATAGTTTAGCTGCTAAACCTGTCAAGTAGAGCACAACTTCAGTTGTTGAAAAATATATCCATTGCTGTCTGCATTAAAAACAATAGTCAGATCACTTTCATTACAAAGCTATTCCATCTTTAGCTGCATCATTTGAGGATGTACTCAACAGTGAAATTACTCTAAACATGTAAGATTGTTTTGTATATTGTAGCGAGGCAGAAGGAAAACACAAACACAGTGGCGTAAGTTACAAACAATTCCCCCAGAGGGTGCTTTATTTACAAAGGTGATAGGTGAAAATAGGGTGCTCTTCGTAGTGTTGGTGCTCAAGTGCTCCGGGGAGAAGGTGAAGGATGGTGAGAGTTCGGTTGTCGGATCGTTCACAAGCTGGAGTCTGCTGTGGGAGAGACACAAGCGTTAGCGCAGGGAGTCATGTGTAAATGAAGCTCGTATTCCTCCTGTGTGGGGCTGGCTTATATCTTTCTCCGGCTGAAGAGGTCCAGCTGTGAGCAATCCAGTGCTGATGAGGTTCCAGCTGGGGTGAATATGTGACCAGGGCGACGTGACATCAGTAGGCTCGCTGCAATATATATATATATATATATATATATATATATATATGAGCAAAAGAGACTCGCAGTGTTTCATTTTCTTTTTTACATACACGATTATGTCGTTGAACTGTTGTATAAATGCAATATCACACTCGTAGCAGTGCTATAGGGCTGTATATTGGCACTGGTGGGAGGCGTGAGTAGAAAAAGGACAAAAATATTGAGTATGTTTTTTCCTATATCAACAGCTGCTGGTTACCAGTGTTCTAAAAATGTATATCTTCTTTTTTTGTTTCAGCAGAAAACTCATACAGGTCTGAAACACATTAGGGGTGAGTAAATGTTTGTAAATGAGTACATTTTCTTTTTTTAAATTAGCACAAGATAGAACAAAGTTGAAACTGATTACAAGTTTCTAAACTAAACTAAAAACAACAATACAGCAATTTGAACTTTTATTATACACAATGCACTTGTGTTGGTGCATATGAAGACATTAGAAAACTTTCTCATAATTATAGGATTAAATATATATATATATATATATATATATATATATATATATATATATATATATATATATATATATATATATATATATATATATACTGCCATGTAGCATTTGTTTTTAAGACAAAATGCAGCCATACGTATTTCTGGCTAGAGTCACAATCTCCAGAAATGTATATAGGTCTACATTTTCAGAATGAGCCTAAGTTGTGGACTATGAATGAACTATCCCTTAAAGTATACAATACCATTAAAGATGCTGGTCTTAAAAAAAATATATATATATATATATATATATTTTTTTTTTTACATATTATTTTTATTTGTTTGTTTTGATAGAGCAAAGCTGAGACTGGTGTGCTTTGATTGCAAGTTTCTGAATGAAACTAATAACAACAATACTGCAATATGAACTTTTATTATGCTCAATGCGCTTGTGTTGGCGCATAAGAAGACATTAAGAAACATTCTCATAATTACAGGATTAAATTTTAAAGAAAACAAACGAATCATGGGGGAAAACAAACAACATTTCCAGAATATGATCGCCAAGAGCAGCTGGAGATTGGACCTCATGCAGGAAGAGAGCAAATAAACACAGTAACTCAAGCCAAGTCTAATAAATGACACATTTGTGCAGTTTCTTCTTACTTCAGTACAAATGTTTATTCAAGCATTACATTAAAGATAATCTTTTTTAAAAAAAAAAAACAGATGCAAAAAATCACATTTAAAGGGATAGTTCCCTTTAAAATTAATATTATATCATCATTTACTCTTTTTTTTTCTGTTAAAAATAAATAATTTATTAATTTATTATAGCTTATTTAAAATAAGTAGTTTGAGCCAACAGCAAACTTTATTTGTGTGTGCGTGTGTGTGTGTACTCTAAACTTTAAATAAGAAGCTGTGTCCAAACTTTACTATATATATATATATATATATATATATATATATATATATATATATATATATATATATATATATATATATATATATATATATATATATATATATATATATCAGAGGGGAATAATAGAAAGATAACAAGTGCGTAAACCTAACCGTAAGCCTAAACTTAACACTAACTATAAATGTGTCCCCTAATTTGGATTAGTTGATTTTAAAGTTGTTCTAGAATTAACAAAAATGTTAATCCAGGAACATATCATATTTGATAAAATCAGGTTGGTGATATAAAACTCATAAATAGGGAGAGCTATCCCTTTACATTGCAGATAAAAGACACACTCATCTTAATATCTTTGAAGAGTTCAGAAGCAAAAACCTCTAAATGCTATCCAAAATCTCCTAAAATTTACATTTTTCTCAGCCTCTATGTTTATTTTCTCATCTCCCTACGTTTATATTCAAGTATTACTCTTTAAAGGCAATGAAAAAACTTATTTGTCACTATAAAAGTAACATTTCTGAGCCTACAAATAAAAGTATGAGAATGCATATTTTAGAAGAACAAATCACACGGTATTTAGAGGTTTTTGCATCTAAACTCTTCATTTCTTTGTCTATAAAAATATATAATATAATATACATGTTCATATAATTAAATTGAACAATGAAGCAACAAAAGAGTTAATATTCATTATATTTATTGACGGATTTATGTTGATTAATATCTCACAGGGTGGCCTAGTTTACTTTGGGAACACCCTGGCCTACATGATAAAATAATCCTATAAGTTTCTCCCTCCCAGAAAAGCAGGCTGTGTGATTCAACACTTTTCCTTTGTTAATCGTCTCTCCTTGAGTAAGTGGCTCTCTGTCGTTCTATGACAGCATTGCAATGAATGTTTTATTTCACGTAAGACCAGTCCTGTATACATCCCCCCACACTGTGCTCATCATGAGACTGGAGTATGTTAATATATAAACACATCTGCAGGGATGCAATGAATAATATGTCTCTCTTTTTTCATTATATTTTCTCTGTTAAGCAGACTGCCGCCTCCGTGGTGCCCGTCCAGACAATTGCAGCTGCATTCCACCGAGGACTGGATGATCGCAGCATTTTCCTCCTTAAATTCAGATACTCGTTGAAGTGAGACTCCCATAAGATGTCTAATGAAGCAAATAAGTGATTCAGTGCTGGTTTTGAAGAGGCAGGAGGGAGCAAAAACATTGCAACGCCGAGGCTGGGACCCACAAGACAGTGCTGTCGACTCTCATTTAGATGTTTTACTAAGACTCTGCCAAAAGTGTTTTTTCACCATTTGTTCCGAATAATCAGAGAAAACCCTCAGAGCTCAACTTTCGCTTTGAGAATGTGGAAACAAAGACAAAGACATGCCTGCCGGGCCCGAAGTAAATCTGGAATACTAGTTTAGCAAGTCTAATGCATTCAGTTTATGTGGTGTAAGAAGTGTAATTAAATGTCACTGATTAGATCACTCAGAAATGAATATTCTGTTGTACTTAAGTTGTTTTGCGGTTTTATGACGGCATTTCTTCCTTGGAATTGACACGCTTGCACATTATAAACTTAGTTGTATCACAGTAGCTCTCTGTGAAATTTAATCATTATTTGCTCATTATGTTGACCACTAGAGGGCTGTTAACTATTAGAAATGGTGTTAAGTATAACCAACAGTACTTTAGTCTTTATGTGTTCCTTTTTAGTTCCATTTTAGATGGTTTAAGTAAGTTTGCTAGCCTTTGAAACTTTTATTTGTTTTTTAATGAAAAAAAAAAAACTAATTAGAAATGAAATAGTTTGGGTTTAAAAACTGGATTAAATTGTGTATTCATTGACAAACTCATTATCAGTGTTTTCTTCTTGTCTTCCAAAATATTTTATTTAAGTGAACTGAACTGAAGTTTGGACTGACATGTAGGTGAGTAAATAGCAAATAAATTTGAAATAATTGTCACTTTTTGATTAATTATTTAATGGATTTTCATGGAATAATATTAAACTATAATTTGTATTTTTTATCATTGATAAGCACAGTTTTCATGTTTACAATTAGTGCATTTAGTGTCTGTAAATTGAAGATTTCATTTCTATTTTTTTATATGTTTTTATTTATTGATTTGTGTTTGCGTAGATTTGCTGGTTGGCATAGTAAGTAAGTAAAGTTTATTTATAAAGCATATTAAACTTCAGTTTGGCACTGACCAAAGTGCTGAACAAAACCATAACACACATTCTAAAACAGTAAAATAACAATAAAAGTAATAATAAAAATAATATATGACAACATTCATTCATTCATTATGCTTAGTCCCTTTATTAATCTGGGATTGCCACAATGGAATGAACCGCAGCGGATGCCCTTCCAGCCGCAACCCATCTCTGGGCAACATCCAAATTTATTCACTTATTCACACTCATACATACGGACAATTTAGCCTACCCAATTCATCTGTACCGCATGTGTTTGGACTGTGGGGGAAACCGGAGCACCCGGAGGAAACCCACGTGAACGCAGGGAGAACATGCAAACTCCACACAGAAACGCCAACTGACTCAACTGAGCTGATGTTTGAACCAGCGACCTACTTGCTGTGAGGTGACTGCACTACCTACTGCGCCACTGCATCGCCTATATGACAACAACAATGGACAATTAAGATTAAAAGCCAGGGAAGGCAATAGAATAAAACTGTGTCTTAAGTCTGGACTTAAAAATAGAGAGAAGAAGCGCTCATAATGTCCGGTGGCAGTTGGATACACAAACATGGAGCAGTGACTGCAAAGGCTCTGTCTCCTTTCAGTTTAAGTCGTGACCAATGAGTTTGTAGTAAAACTTTATTCCTAAGAGACTGAAGAGTTGTAAGTTGATAAGTTCAGAAATATAAGAAGGTGCCTGCTTCCCCACTCAGTGTTTTAAAAACAATAAGTAAAATCTTGAAATGAATTCTAAAATTAACAGGAAGCCAATGAAGGGTTGCTGGAACTAGTCAGATATGAGCATGTTTTTAATACCTGATAAAAGTCTAGCTGCTGCATTTTGAACCAACTGCAGCCATGCCAATGAAGATTGAGGAAACTTAATATTCTAGGTGAGACATGATAAAAGCATGTATGACTTTTTCCGGATCTTGAATAGGTATGTATTTAAGTCTGGAGAGGATCCTCAGCTGATAGAAACTGTTCTTAATGACTGAGCTAATTTGTTTTTCTAGACAAAACTCAGAATCAAAGATAACTGCTAGACATGACACAAAAATCCATTTAAAATCTACTGTATAATTAACACATTTTATATGGAACTCACAGAACTTTCCCCATAACCAAGCCATCTCCACTAGTTTATCCGCTGGCCCTTTAAGGGAAAGTCCAGGAAGGTCACAAACTCCTGACTGAAAAGTCAATGGCAAGGAACAGTGCCAGCAAGCTCGAACAAAACCATCCTTGTGAGTCAAAAAAAAGAAAAGTATGCCAAATGTATTACAAGAAGATTTCCCTTGAACAAATTTGCAGTTTCTAAGTCTCTTCTATCTCTTATTTCAGCTGTTGGAGAAAAGCCCAAGATTCCACAGGTTAAGCAATCTAGTGTTCTGGAACATTCAGTTCAAACCTTCATTTATCTGCAATAACAACTGCCGAAGTCTGGACAGAGATGACTGAGAGGAGAGAGAGGTGAGTCTGCAGTGTAAAGACAGTAGATCAATATGAATTCAGCTCAATTTCCTTATGCCATTATATCTTAAACTAAATAAAACCTAATCAGGTTTCTAAATATAAATATAGGATGTTTGTTTAAATGTGTCTATTTTGATCTTAATTTTGATCTTAATAGAATAACTGAATAAAAAAATGCATCAATATATTGTACAATGTTAATTTAAGTTCATGTTAAAAAGGTAAATATGTTTTTACCCCATTTGAAACACACACTCACAGGCCACTTTATTACGTACACCTTACTAGTACCAGGTTGGACCCCCTTTTGCCTTCAGAACTGTCTTAATCCTTCATTGTATAGATTCAACAAGGTACTGGAAATATTTCTCTTATGCATACCTCAGTTGTAATGAGTGGTTATTTGTGTTACTGTTGCCTTTCTATCAGCTGGAACCAGTCTGGCCATTCTCCTCTGAATTCTGGCATCAACAAGGCATCTGCACAGTACTACCGCTCACTGGATATTTTCTCTTTTTTCTCTTTTCTCCATCTCTATAAACCCTAGAGATGGTTGTGCATGAAAATTCTAGAAGATCAGCAGTTTTCTGAAATAATAAAGATCAGCCCGTTTGGCATCAAGAATCATGTCACGTTCACTCAAATCACCTTTCTTCCCCATTATGATGCTCGGTTTGAACTGCAGCAGATCGACTTGACCATGTCTACATGCCTAAATGCATTGAGTTGCTGCCTTGTGTTTGGTTGTTTAGAAATTTGCATTGACAGTTAGTTATTCCCAGGGCCGTTTACATCGAACACTCACCCCCAACATGGAGAACCAGGATGTACACACATAAACTACAAACAATTTAGCTTGCCCAATTCATCTGTAGTGGGGTAACCCAGAGCACCTGAAGGAATGGTGGCGATCGTGAACTGAAGACCAGTGGGCGCTTTCATTTTTGAGGGGCACTTTTTATCCAAGAGAAAAAAGGGCATATGCACTGCACAGGTTGAGTCCTATCTGTACAGGTCCCTACATACATGACTTGTCACTTGGCTATGATGGTACAATTTGTAAAGCTGATACAACATTATATAACACAAATTACATAACACAATTTAATGATTATGTATGATATATAATGTATGCAAATTATGTCATTTTCTGACTTTAAATGCACATATATTGTGTACCTTGAAGACATTTTTTTCCAGATTTAAAATAATTAATTATTTATTTATTTGTTGCTGTTTAAATAAATAAATAAATAAATAAGTATTGAAATAAATGAGTATTTCGTTTAATAAACTTGATTCTCAATCATAAGAAATGTAAACACTTGTTGGCATAACTAAATATGTAAAAAATACAAAACGAAAATAAAAATATCAATTAGAAATAATCTGAATTATTATTGCAATTGCTAATACAGCTTATTTATGTTTTTTCTGTGTTTTTTCAGTCTGCACTAAGAGCAGTTTTACTTTTATATACTGTATATTATAGTATTTCAGGTAGCACTCAACCACAGTCATTCACAGTAGCTTCAGCATCTTATTCCTTAGTGGAGCTTGTATGATGAGTGATGCGGTGTCCCATAACTCAATTAGAGGAGACACAGTCTAAAGATTTTTTTTCTTCTTCGAGAATCATTTTCTAATTCAGTTTATTAATCTGTTCAAAACATGGTGAGCTGTCAGACTAGAGAATCCTCATTATTCAATACACCTGAGAAAACTGACAGGGCCTGTAATGAGATTCTCACTCAGTGCTTTTGCAGTCTCATACTAAACAGCACAGGTGCTTCTAGAATAAAAGCATCTTAAAGCATCAATGTTATTAAGTTGGTTTAGTAATTATGGGTGCTATTGATTTATTTTGTCTGATTCACAGTAGGCTTGTGGGTTCAGATTTACTCACGCTAAGGTTATAGACCATTGTTAACTATTTGTTTTATTGGTATGACCATCAGTAGTCATTTTTTTATTGAGATTAGTTCATTTTCTAAATATGGGACAACACTTCCTTTGAATTTTCATTCTTGAAAAACATTATACAAAAACACCATTTGAACTAACCTTGTGATGCAACTAAATTAAAAGCTCATGTGTATGGATTATTATTACTTTTTGTTAAGTTTCATTCTTGATTCAGTGTTGTTGATTTTTTTCTTCTATTTTACAGCTGTTATAAAATAAAGCTAATATTTGTCAAATGTATGTCACAGTCAGGGGTGCCCAAACTTTTTCATATAAAGGGCCAAAAACCAAATATCATCACGACCCATGGGCTGAAGGTAAACATACCAAACCACTGTATATTACATTAAAGTTGCCATTAATTTCCTAATTAATTTCCTAATATTTCAAAATAAATAGAAAATCTTACTTTAAATCGTATTAACTAATGTAGTATAATTTTTTAAATTAGAACTTATTGCAATAAAAACATGAACAATCACATTTATAACACACTGTAGTTCAGAACCTGCCTTTGACTTGACTTTGACAGTATTTACATTTAAACAAAATCAATAACAAATAACAATAAATAATTTACACAGTTCAATTGAAACATTTAATTTCAGTTTGCATTTAACAATAAAACAAATGGTTATATTAAATTTTAATTGACAAACTCAAAACATCCGCATCATTCTTCCTCTCTTCTCAGAGGGATGGTGGGCCACATTAGCGGTTACCATTGGCCAACTTTCGCCCACTGGCCTTAGTTTATCACTGAGTTAGAAGCTTTCTGATGAAAGGATTGAATCGTTTTAGTCAAAATTAAATAAAATAAATCTAGAAAACGAAATGTTGCCAATAACATATTAGGAGAAACAGAAATGATTAATTCTGGGCCTTCTTATCCAAGAAACAGCTTAAGTTAATGTTGGCTCAGAATCTACAGTGTATATTTAAAACAGAATTGATTATGTCACCTTCTGTCACAACCACCAGTGATCTAATCCTTGCAGATCACTGGTAAACACGCAATTCACTAAAGAACTACAAATTCGCCATTATATGGACTACAAAGTCTGTCATGTACTTTGTACACACAAGTTCCCATTTTACACACACACACACACATCTTTGCTGAGTCTTGTTAAACTGTATTGTGAACTTTAAGTCGGATTTTCCTTGCCTTGCCTTGCCAGTTTTGACCCTTGCATTGTTTTGTTA